ATATCTTTAAAAGAAATGCAAAATCTAACCACATAATCAATCTGAGTGGGCGCTGCAAACTGTGAATATCACAAATAATTCATATTACTTGATTACAAGGGCCTGGGATGCATGAACACTCCCTACTTGATGGCATGAGGTCATTGACATGGCAACTATAACTAGAATTTGGACCGTCCTGAAGTTGCCAACAAGAATTTGGTCATCATCCTGGCCCAAGCCTCTGGTTAGTAAATTCAAGTATCCTGGCAAAGCCAAATATTACATGCAATACAATAGTTTTCTTAGTGAGTGATAAGATAATACCTAGGGCTCCAAATCTCATCTGAGAGGCAAAACCCCATTGTCAAAAGTAACTGCAGTTACCTAGAATGGTAATAGCCTTTCTTAATGAGTAAGCATATTTCAACTACAGAAAGATCCAGAATGAAATATACAAATACTTAAAAGATTAAAAGTCAGATGTTAATGTATTTGTTTTAAGAAAGCTATGCAAAAATTGATGTTTTATATATATACAAAATTTAAGAGAATCTGGTCTGTAAGAATGACTGACTTATAACAAATTTAAAATATACAATTGAGTAATAGCTTTAAACTTGTGATTTTAAGCTGAAATATTTTAGGTTCATAAATAACATTTGAACATTCAAAAGACTTTAAGGTCATTGTGTTTACAAATTCAATTTCATATGTTCATAAGAATGATTTAATACCTAGGAGCATTTTGTTTATTACCTCAGATAATTAATGTACTTAAGAAAATTGAACATACTAAATACTAATTTAATTATTTTAGCCTATTTCTAAGCAGTAATATCTGTGAAAACACTGGTCTGATATGTACTTCATATGAAATAAATAATAAATAAATGGTGTGTATAAAATACAGTAAATTAAACAATTAGTAACATTCTTAATCAGATACTCTTGATCCGAACCAAAAGAGTTTATAACCTCTGGAAAAAGCACCATAGAATAGTTCTGACTAATGCAAACCATAATGAGGTTGGAGTGAAAATTTCCAACTGAGAAAGCGGTTATCAGTATGGAGAGGCAGATGTCAACAAGGGATTTTTTTCTTCTCTTTTTCATAACATTATGATAGCTTTGAAAAAAATCCAAAACCAAGGCATAAAAATGTCACATACTTAACTGACATTCACTATGATTTTTAAGAATCTAAAACTATATTCACAAGCAAGATAAAAAAGAAACTGTTCATGGAGTAACACGCACTTGAAGGAAAACGAGGATCCAAAAGTATCCCCTCACCCTCAAAACTCTGCTCAGGAACTTCAAATAACGAGAATATATGTTCCTGGACAGAAGTAATTAGGACCAACTCACAGGAAATCACGTGACAAGTGCAACAAGTTTTGGCAGGTCAGCCCTCTTAAGTGTCCACATTCCTCAGGACTCAATCATCCCTTTTCTATTTTCACCATCTCCAAACCCCCATGGCATTTAGTCACATAATTTTCAGTATGACCTAATGCACTAACTTCCAAAACCAAATCCATCCTTTCCTCTCTATTCTCACTGCCATCATCTTGGTTTAATCCTTCATTATTTCTCACCTCTTCTACTACAACTGCCTCCCCTAATTAATCTATGTTCATCCTCATCCCTCTCCAATCTATTCTTAACAGTCAGCTGGAGTGATTTCTCTCAAATCCAAACCCAGTCTGATTAGGTCCCTTCCCAGTTCAATTCCTTCAAGGGCTCTCCATCGCCTAGCCCCTTCCGCTGCTTCATGTTTCCTCATTACACTGAACACCATCTGACATACAGTACTTCATTACTTGTTTGTTCACTACCTCCACTACAACTTAGAATGCTATGTCCATAATGGCACGGTTTTTGTTCACTGCTATATGTTGCACAGTAAGCACTCAAACATGCATGCATGAATGAGTGAATGAATGAAAGGACTGATGAGCTACAGGCCAAAGGCCTCCATGACCTGCCAGGGCCCCCCTTTTCACTTTTCCCCCACCTCTACCTATACAGAATTGCTTAATTACCTGAATATGCACTTTCATGTCCCCTTGCTTTGCCATATGCAATTGCCTTTGCCTGAATACAAACTCTCCTCACCATCCAATCAACCTGCCATAGTGTCATCCATATTTTAAAACCATCTCCAGAAAGCTTCCTGTAACTCCCTAGAGAAAGTATATCACTTCCTTTCCTTTGTGCTACAGTGGCACTACTCAAACTGTGCTGGAACGTGTACCTCCCTTGCTGGATTCTGAATTCTTAATAGGCCAAAACCTATTATTCATCTCTTTATCTCCAATGCCTAGGACAACACCTGTCATAAAGCAACTACTCTATAAATGTTGAGTGAATTAACATATGCATGACTATTCTCTAAGAGAAATGAAAACACAGCATTTTAAGAAGTCACTCTTCCAATTTCATGATGATAACCAGCCATGAGATAAAAGAAGTAACAACCAATGACATCGCCCAAGGTAATAAAAGAGAAGGAATTATACAAAGAACACACATCACCAAACAATCCAAAATAACTGACACACACATTTTATTAGATATACATGCTGGCTTCTTCTTGCTCCATCATTTGCCTTTCCTAAAAGGGAGAGCTGGGGTGAACAATATATTAAGTAGATCACTCTCTGAGGAAGCTTTTGATATTCATATAAGTTTTTATGTTCCCTCATATCCTGATTTAAACTTCAAAATAGTTGTATAGGGCTAGATTTTACAACTAACCACACACCCTGAACCAAAAACCAAAGCTTTATAATCTAGGCCATCAATGGATTACAGCTGTGCTTCAGACCATGGAGCAACCGCAGGGGCCCCCAGACCAATCACCTTCAGCCATGGGAAGCCTCATTTATTATCCCAAATGTGCCTTACAAACCTCACTATAGACCAAGGCCCCTAAATCCAACCCTAAGGAACACACCTGCCCTACCTAATTAGTTCTAAGGAGCATGAGTATAAATGGACACTCACACACAGATGCATACAAATGAATAGACATAAATGTACATGAAGCTGTTTAGAAAACTCAGATTTTAAACCCAATGATGGCTAATGTAGTATCAGGTGAAGCCAGAGGCCAAGATGTGATCTTTGATTCCTCCCTCCCCACCATTCAGTAACCAAGTTACAGAAAATGTACCTCCTATTATTTTTTCAAATAGGTTGCCTACTCTCAAGGCTATGCTCAGATACTAGTTCAGAATTGTAGCATTTCTCATTGGGAATACAGTCTCCTGATTGATCTCCCAGTCTCTGGACTCAATGAAAATTGTATCTACCCTTTGTGGAGGGGTTATGTAATCAGCATTGCACTTGATCACTTAACTTTATATTTTTCAATTCTCACAGCAACACTGCCAAGCAGGAATTACTGTCCTCATTTTCACAGATGAGAAGCTCTGAGAGAGGTTAAGTGACTTGCCCAAGGTCACACAGCTGGAATTGTGTAGTAGAAATTCAAGCTCAGGTCTATGTTCCCATGTTTAACCTTCTTCAATTCAGCCCCAATGTGATCTTTCTAAAAGGTAAACGTAATCATGTTTCCCCTCACATAAAATCCTGGAAAGAGGACCTGTATCTCCAGCCCTCATCCCCTGTCATTCTCACCCTTTCTGTCACACTTAACTCCCAGTAGTTCCCTAATCTGTTTGTCCCGGCTTTACCTGTAAACACACTTTTTCTGACAAAAACACTTGGCAGGCTACTTCCAACACAAACTTCAAGATTTAGTCAGATAATCCTTATTCTGGAAAGCCTTTGCCCTAACAAATTCTTACCCAAAACTAAATTAAGTGACCATTTGCTATAGTTATCAGCTAGTTTCTTATTACACTGTATTATAACTTTACCTTATTAGGCTAATAGTCTTAAGAGCAAACATTGACTTTTTAAATCTCTGTATTCCTAGTACAATGTGTATGTAGCAAAGATTCAATGAGAGCGGAATTAATTAATTAATCAGCAGCAGTGCAGTTTAAGAACTAGGCCCTAAAGTTAATCTGATGTGCTCTCCAATTCTAACCTGCCACACAGTATACCTGCCAAGCCTGCAGCAGGCTTGTAAAATCTGTTTAATTTCATTTGTAAAATAGGAGGCAAATGCACCTACCTCATAGTTTGGAGGGGAGTAAAAGAAATAATAGATTTAGCACAATCACTGGCACATTGAAAGTATACATTAACCATTAGCAACATTTTTTTTTTTCACTCTCAAAGCTTATCCACACTGACAAAGTCACATCTCCGGAAAAATAGCTTATCGTAGCAGCTTCCATGAGAGCTGTGTTTTCTCCAAAAAGTTGGAAGCAAGATCCAGGGAACATCCTCATCCACAGACAAGGGTGTTTCAGCTTCTGGTTACAGAAGAGTTCAGTAGCTACCATCACACCCTAAAATCACTAACTATGTCTGCAGTTTATTGCTTCCTACCCACCCCTCGGTTTCCTCTCTCAAAGTCAAATACCATCCCACTACGCAAGCAGAAACCTGCCCCACAGGAACCTGTCAGTCCCTTATTACAGGAACCACTTTCCCCCCCGCACCCAGGCTTGAGCGAATTATAAGAGATCCATCATCTAGTACAAACTTAGAACTCCTCGAAGGATCATAATAGAACCCCTTCTATCCATTCCAAGACCTTAGCCCTCCAAAGTATTAATTCAAGACAGAGAATGGATTCCTGGTATTAAGAATCCAAGAAAAGGGGTCCTCTTAAAGGCTCCCCCAATAAGAGTTCTTCAGGTCTGCTACTCTCAAACAGTTACCCAAATCCACACTCCATCCCGCCCCCTTCCTGACCACTCGTAAATCCAGGGTCTCGTCCACTCACTCTTGAAAGAGTGATGGGTCAGTACTTTCAGGGACCGCGATGACTTCCGCCCACCCGTGTCACCTCCCTTCCCACCTCGCCCGTGCCCTCCCGCAGCACAGGCGCGGCCTGGTCCATCGCCGCCAGCTGGCTCCACAGAGCCTCTACTCACCGCTTCTTGGGGATGGTACCTGACTCCTGCGCGGCGGGAGTGGCCGTGGGCGCCGCCGTGGCAGCCGACGCGGCTTTCCGCGCTTTGCACTCATTGGTACTCAGAGCGTCCTGGGGCTGGCCCAGCAGATGGCCCGAGAGAACCCGCAGCCTCCGCGCGGCACGATCCCGGTCCGGGTCCCGGTTCCGATCCGCTGCAGAGCCGGAGCCAGCGCCCGTCCCGCCTGCTGCAGCCGCCGCCTCCGCCTCCGCCATGGCTTCCGCCTTGTGCCGCCGCCCGGGACCGCTGGGCGCGGGTGAAAGGTCACTCGAAGCGGCGCCCGGCGCGACCATTCGCTGCGGCGCATCCCGGCAGCCACCGCGGCGACTGGGCGGCGGGTGCCATGCGCCTGGAGCTTCACATTCTCAGCTCCCGCCCACCGCGCCCGCCCTCCTCTGCAGTCACGCCTCCGGCGGTGTGCACCTGCAGAGCAGGTGAGTTTGAACCGTCCCCGAGCTGATCCAACTCGGGCTAGGCTGGACCAGGAGCCAAACCACAAGCGTCCCCAAAATGCCCTAGTACCCTGGGTGGTATCCTCGGATGTAGCCTGGGCCTCTGGAGTAGCTTTCGGGGGCAGAAACATTCGTAGAGCAAGAGGCGTGAGCGGTGCTGCTAAATGTGACAGCAGAACTAGCGCATCCTTTCCCTGAATGAGTTTCTATTGCTCCACCTCTGCCCCCACTCCCTAAAGTAACTCAAACTGACTCGTTGCCTATAACCATTAGAGGAAATAGCTATCATTTTCTCGTCGCCTACTTCGTGCCTGGCACTGTGCTTAATGCTAGATCTCAAGTAAGTAATCTCCATTTTACAGATGAAAAAAAAATGAAACTCAAAGACATTAACTTGTCCAAGGGCATGTAGCTAGTAAATGCTAAAACAACTTAGGTTCTCTCTCCATTTGCTATGGGATGCCAGGCCCTTCCTTATCCTAATGGAGGCAGAGATTTTTATTGCTACAGATAAAATTACCCAACAGCTGTTCTTAAGACTTCTTGCTTGTCTACAAATTGACTTCATTTCTGGAGACTAGCACTTGGCGAAAGTAGGAGGGAGGATCTTTTAGGACAGTGCTCCTCAACGGTTCTTAGCCAGTGGATTAGATTGCAGAACTCACCATCAGATGTAAAGTTCCTTTTTGCATAATGCCCAATTCAAAGACGCCTTGGGAATGGTAAGAAAAAGGATTGCCATAAGGATTCCAAGCCCAATGAAGTCACTCACCACTAGCTCTGGAAAAAGTTAAGACATTTGAGGAGTTATTGACTAATACAAAAGCTCTTTACTAGTGATTGAGAAAATTCAGGCAATAGGAGGACTTGATTTGTATGTCAGATCTACAGATCTTAAGAGATAGTTCAGCATTAAATATCTAGTCTTGCTCTACAGTCACTGAGCCCAACTCCTTTTAGCTGCTGTTTCTAACCGCTGTACTCTTCCTAGAGGAAGTCATTGGCTATTTCAAATTAGCTAGGAGTGAAGAAAGGGGACAGGAGTAGGAGTACATTGCTAAGTGCTCTAAGAAGAAAGGCTCCTCAAGTTCAAGAGTTCAGCAACTGTAGTTATCGGGCTTCTCACACCCTTTAGATGTTACTAGAACAACATTAAAGCACCAACTAGCATGTTTGCTTGCATTCATGTAAAATGAGTAGATTTCTTGCCAAAATACTATATGAGCAACACAGAATCTTTTTGGAATGAAACAGGTCTATTAATTTTTGCTGGACTTCCAGAGAGCTCAATCTACCACTACTGGCATGTTTTAAATGTAAATGTAGTTAACTAACATCTTTTTAGTCTTGTCCAAATTGAGATATAGGCGTGCTTCTTGCCAACTCTCAAGAGCCAAATTTATAAATTTTGCAGATATCAACAGAATAAAAAAAATCCTTTACTCGTGAGTGATAAAAAGATTGATGTAAAGCAAAATTATACACCAGTGGAAAAACTACTGATTGTATTTCAAATATGTGTAATAAAATACATATAGGCAGTAAAAACATTTGTTGAGAGCCTATTATGTACCTAATTCATTACTATGTGCTATGACATAGAAAGTATTAAAGCCAATGCTTCGTCTGTAATGATATAATCAGGCTAATTAGGATATATGTTGGAAAAAACTGTGATACTATTGGGTGAAATAAGTGTGATGCAGCTGGTTTCCAATGCCTTCTGCTTACAAGAACAAAGCCCAAGCAGAGTGCCCTGAAATTTATTTCATGCTACCTAAGAGGAACGAATGTTTCACTTGTGGCATGGTCCATTGAGATGTTTATGATTCCCCCAAAAAGCAAAACTTCAGTGAATATCACATTTAGGAGGGCCTCAATGAACCCCTGGAACACTTGGCCCTTGATAAACCTAGATCCTCATGGAGAGCTAACCACATGCACAGAAACAATGATGTGTGGAATTTTAAATGGAGTGACCTTTATTTGCATTTATGACATCTCTTCTAATATGAAAAACAATAAAGTCTAAATAGGATAGATTAATTCCTAAAACATGCACCGAAATTTTTTTTTACTGATTTTCATCACTCCTTGAGCTTCTGAGTGATCCCTGAATAAAGGAAATCTTGCAATTTTACATATTTTTATTATAAAATATAATGCAGAGAAAAGTGAACCAATGCATAAATTACCACAGATCAAACACCACGTAACTTTCATCTAGGTCAAGAAATAGAACACTGCCAGCCCTCCAGAAATCCCCCTTGCGCCCTCTCCCAATCACTTCACCCTCCCTACTTACCAAAGATAACTACTGTCCTGAGTTTTATGATAGGCATTTTCTGTTTTTCTTTATGGTTTTAACAATTTAGCATGCATTCCTTGTTTGTTTGCATTTATATAAATGGAATCATATAGTATTCTTTTGTATCTGGTTTCTTTCACTCAACATTGCATTTATGAGATTCGTACATATTGTTGCATGTAGTTGTAGTACATTCATTTTCTTTGCTATATAGTATTCCATTGAATGCATATACCAGGGTTTATCTATTCTATGGTTAATGGACATTTGAGTTTTTTCCAGTTTGGAGCTATTGTGAATGAGTTTGCTATGAACATTCTTGCATATGTCTCCAGATGGACATATAGATGAATTTTTGTTTAGTAGCCATCTAAGAATGGAATTGCTAGGTCATAGAGTATGCATATGTTTAATAGATAATGAAATGCCAAACTGTTTTCCAAAAGAATTGTACAAAACCTACCATTCCAGCAGCAATATGAGAGTTCCCATTGCTTTGACAAGTGTTATTGCCAAGCTAGTTGGTTTTAGCTATTATATACTGTTATCTTATTGTGGGTTTAATTTGCATTTCCCTGATTACCAGTGCAATCGAGTGCCTTTTTTGTATATTTGTTGGCCATTTGTATAGCATCTTTTGTGAATGTGTAATGGGTAAATTTCCTGTATTACCTTTGAGGCCTTATTATTTTTCCTTTCATGTTTGTATCCACAATTTACCTGAAATTGATTGTTTATGCTGTAGATCACACTTTTTTTTTTCCATATGAGTTTACAGCTGTCTCAGCACTACTTGTTGAAAAGATCTTGTTCTGCTTTGCCACCTTTGTCATAAATCAAGTGTCCATATAACGTTGGTCTATTTCTGGGCTCTCTATTCCATTGGTCTACTTATTTACCTTATGCCAGTATTACACTGTTTTAACCATTGTATACGTATTCTTTTAGACCTTTTACATATAATTATATCATTTGTGAATAATAGCAGTTGATTCCTAACTTTACAATCCTAGTACTTCTTTTTCTTCCCTTACAAACCTTATACAGTACTTTTTTTTCTTGCCTTATCCAACTGACTACGCCCTCCAAAACAGTGTTAAATAGAAGTTGGGATAGTGGCCCCATCTCCTTGTTCCTAATTTCAAAGGGAAGTTTCTCAACATTACACTATTGTTTGAAGTGGGTTGCTTTTTTTAAAATGAACTTTTTAGCAGATTAAACAACTCCCTTTCAAATCCTAGTTTGCTGAGAGTTTTTATCATGAATGGATTTTGAATTTTATCAGATGTTTTTTCTGCATCTGTCGAGATGATCATGTGATTTTTCTCCTTTATTTTGTTAGTATGGTAATTTACATGGATTGATTGTCCACTGTTCAACCAACTTTGTAATGCTGGCACAAACCTAACCTGGTCATATATTGGCCATTTTATATGTTACTGAATATAGTGTATTAAAATTTTGTTTAAGAGTTTGTATCTGTGTGTATATGTAAAGTTGGTCTATTATTTTCCTTTTCTAACAGGAACATCTCAGTTTTTGTTGGCCCCATGAAACAGGCTAGTGAGGACTTCTTTGTTTTCTAATCTTAGGAAGAGTTTATCGTATAAGCCTGATCATTATTACTTAAATGTTTGTTAGAATTCACCAAAGAAATCTTGAGGTTTTTTATGGGGAGGTTTTTATTTATGGATTAAATAGTTTAATGCTATTTGAATTTTTTATTTCTACTTGTTTCAGTCTTCCACAGTGTTTTCTATCTAATTGTCTGCTTCATTTACATTTTCAAATTTATTGACAGTTTTTCATAGTATCTTCTATTATTGTTTTAATGTCTATAGGATCTGTGGTAATGTCCCACTTTTCATTCCCTACATTGGTTATTTTGCGCTCTCGCTCTCTCTCTCTCCCTCTGTCTTTTAATCAGTTTTCCAGGCATTAATCAATTTTATTGCTTTTTAAAGGGCCAACTATTGACTTTGTTGATCCCATTATATGTATGCTTTTTAATATTAATTTCTGCTAATATTCCTTGTCATTTCTATCTTCTACCTTTTTTTTCTAATTTCTTGAAATGAATGCTTTGTTCGTTGATTTCTCAGACTTTTGTGTGTGTGTGTTTGTTTTCTAATATATATGCACTTAGGGCTATAAATTTCTCTCTAAGCAATTAATTTCATTCATGCAAGTTTTAATAATAGTATTTCCATTATTATTCTGCTCTAAATAGTTTGTATTTGAAAAGAATAAATATTCTCTTTTGTTTTGGGTTATAATGTTCCCCAAATACAAATGACTGACCTAATGGTTGTGTTGTTCCAAGTTTTTATATCCTAACTGGTATTTTGTCAACTTATTTTGTCAGTTATTGAAGTATGTTAAACTCCCCAACTATTATTATGGATTTATTTATTTTTCCTGTCCTGCTAATTTTTGCTTTCTGTACTTTGAAGCTATATATTAGATATATCTAAACTATATTTTCCTGATGAATTGAAACTTTTATAATTACTAAATATCCCTCTTTGTCTATAATCGTATCTTAAAATTTATCTATACCGTGTGTGTGTGTGTGTGTGTGTGTGTGTGTGTGTGTGTGTTCCTATCCTATAGCTCTTAATCTTTCTATAACCAGATATTTTAAATGTGTTTCTTATAAACAGCATTTAGGTGTTTTCTTTTAAGCAGTCTAAGCATATAATTCTGGATCATTTAGCCCATTTAAATTTAATTGACTTATAATATATTTGGTGTAAGATCACTAGCCTCATTGCCAGACAGACTTGGGTTTGAAGATTGTCTCTACCATTGACCAGATGTGTTGTCTTGAGCTTGTCACATTAATATCTCTGGGCTTGGCACCTTATCTGTAAAATCAGGATAGTAATGACTACTTCCCAGGTGTATTAAAGGATTAATGAGCAAAACTATAGTAACTTCTAAGGGCTATTATGGAAATAGGAGTAAGGCTGGTATCAGGAAGACAGCCTTCCTGGAAAAGATAATCCATATTAGGAGAAAAAGAAATAAGGTTAAATAGGTAATATGAAACCAAATTATGGGAATATTGAAAACATATCAGAGAAGTAAAAAGTTGATCTGGTGGGAGCTATTGTAAGTTCTTGAGCAGGGGATTAGCATGACAAGCCTGTAAAGACCACTCACTACTCATTCTCAAGTGGATATCAGCCTGTCAGGGATACCTGAGAAACTGTTGGCAGTTAGAAAAAGAAGCTGTACCAGCAAATGATAAAGACCTAAAAAACTACTACAAAAAGAAGTTAACAATATTTTTGAATGACAGGAAAGCATCCAATTGTGGTTAACTGCCTACTCCAGTAAAGGGCACTGAGTTAGCGCCTAAGTAAAGATATTTAAAGTGAAAGTGGCTAGAGGTGGCTCTGTGTTCTGTTGTTATCTATTTCAGGATGTCACAATCACACTAATGTATATAGGGTAAGGAGAAACTGACTTAATTAGCCAAATCACTGGGGTAGAGTTGAAAGTATTTTATATTCTTTTACTGCTCTGCTACTAACTTATGCAATCTAAAATTCTTTGTTTCTTGATTGCTTCATATTTCAGGTAGGAACAATTTCTGATGCCCTACCTCTCCGATTTATTGTAAAATGATAAATATGTGAGTATTTTGGAAACCAAAATCAAAAGTCACTTTAAGATAATTATTTTCTTTGGAACATATAAAATTGAGATTTGATATTTATCAATTAGTACTCTGAAGCAGTAAACTTTTAAGCAAACTTTTAAAGTTTTTAAGTAAACTTAAACTTTTTGGTCTCTAAGATTCCTTTATAATCTTAAAAATCAATACCCCTAGAGAGCTTTTGTTTATGTTTCTATCTACCTACCTACCTACCTATACCATATTAGAGATTAAAATTGAAAAGTATTTAAAATATTTCTTCTTCAATTTATTTTAAAATAATAATGATAAACCAACCAATACATATTAATATAAATAATATATTTTTATTAAAAATAACTATATTTTCCATGAAAAAAGAGAATAGAATGCCATTACATTTTTGCAAATCTCTTTAATCCCTATCAGGCTTAATAGAAGACAGCTGGATTCTCATACCTGCTTCACATTCAATCTGTTGAGATATCACATGCCATGTAACTGCTATAAAACTCCACTTTAGGGCTGGCCGAGTGTCGTGTTGGTTAAGAGCTGGCTTGGGATGCCAGAGGGACCCGGTTTGGATCCCACATATGAGGGCCAGTGACACTGCCCTTTACAGCTAAGATGCTGAACAACAGCTCAACCTGGAGCTGGGCTGCCATGAGTCGCCGTCGACGGCAGGTGGGTTGCCATGGGCTGCTGTGTGTAACCAGCAGCCAGCATGAGTGGCCAGCAGCCGCAGTGAGTGGCCATCCAGAAGCTGGCAACTGATCTGCCTCACCCGGGAAGAGCGCAATGATGGTGCCAACTTGTGCCAGTGAAGCAACGTCCTCCACAACTAGACTGAAGAACAAAAGGACAGCAACTTGTCTGTTCCTCTTCCCCCAATTCCCCAATAAAAAAAAAAATCTTAAAAAAAAACAAACAAAAAAACTCCACTTTACACTCATGAGAGAATGAGAGTGAATAAGACAAATAATGTCTTAGTTTTATTATGAAAATAGTTTTGATCTTGCTGACCCCTGAAAGAGTTTCGAAGACCCACAAGGGTTTCCAGGCCACATCTTGAGAACTGCTACTTTAAAGTATTTCTATAGATGTCCGCTAAAACGATTGCTAAGGAAGCTCTAGATAACTGGATACTAAAAGAAGTTAATGCTATTGCCACAAAGAAGTAGTATGCAATGCCATTAAACAAACTTGTCAAAAATATTTAAGGCATAATTTCATATTTTAATATGCTGTATCTGAAATATATATACTTTTAATTTCATACAATCACATTTTGAAAGTGATTCCTACATTTTAAAATCAAATTTCCAGATCCAATTCGTGTATGAGGGGGCAGAGTCGAAATCCAAATTACTGACATGTTAATTATAGTCAGTTCTAACACTTTTTATTTATGATGAGCATGTGATCCATAAGCAGCTTTTAAGACCATTCATTGAATCGCAGTTCGGGTTAGAAGGAGTTGCCTGTGTAGAGCAGGGTCATAGGATGAGCCTCCGGAGAGCAGGTAGCAGGATGGTGGAGGGATGAACATCAAGAAACCTCCTACAGGGAAGCAGTGCGCCAGCTGGAAAAACGTGACACCAGATGCAACAATAATCAGGGAGAGAGTTAGGCCTCACAGCAGCCGGATGTTCTGCAAAAGGGAGGAGAAGATGTCTGAGTGAATGAGCCACTTTGTATGCTGGTTCTGGGTGGTGTTTATAAAGCACCCTAAGGGTCAGGAAAAGCAGCCTTCAGTGGTTACCCGCTGGCCTGCCCTTTTGCACCTTGGCTACAAGTACATTTGTAGTCACAGGAAGCACCATCCCAAGTTCTAACCATGATTTTCTAAAGACTACTCCATAGCTGACGGAGTTTGTTTATTATAACCAACCTACGGATCTCCCAGCTCCCCAACAGATCATAAAATGTCAGGAAAAACATTGCAGAAACCCAGAATTCAGGATGTGAAGACATGAAATCGCCATTAAAATGTGTGAAAATTCAGTTTTACCTTATGAGAAATTATAAAATATAGGTTGATGACCAGTTGTGCAACTTGCCTAAACTAAAAACATATTTCAGCTAAATCACATTTCCTTAGAACAAATTGGTGAAAACAACAGGTAAGCTCCAGCTTTGAAATGAGATTGTTAAAATTACTTTGTCTTATGAAATATGATGTGTTGGATTTGCAACTAAATAATCCATTGTGAGCAGGGAGGCAGCAAGAGGATTGGAGAACAGAGCAGACAGAATTGGCCTCGTTAAAGCTGGGTGATGGCTACATGAAGGTTCATAGTCTCTCTAATTTTGTATATGTTTCACATTTTCCATAATAAAAAGTTTATGAATTATATTTAAAATTTTAACTTTTCCTTTTTTATTACTGTTTCAAAACAATCAATGCAGATTATAAAAAACCTAGAAAGTGTAAAGAAGGGGGAAAAAATCCTAGTATGTGTGACCTTTCCTAACTCAAATATCAACTATACTAATAATGTCACTCCATAAATGAAAATTGATCAGTGGACCTAGCAGCCTCAACTTGTCCTTAACTTTAATGCCATGATTTGTCCAGTATCAATGGAAACTGGTATTACCCCATGTTTGTGAAAGTGAGGAATGATTTTAAAAAAAACAACAAAACCCCAGCTACGGAACACATTGTGTTAGTTAATCCAGCAATTGTGATAATTGCAAGGTCAAGTTAACCAATGTGAGTAAATAGATACCTTAGAGTAATATGTTTATCCTCCACAATTTGAATGAACTCCTTCAGGAAACCAAGACATTATCAGGTCAATTATTTTCTACAGTAGCTTTGCAAAACACCTTGAAAAGCACTGATGAGCAATTAACTGCCACCTGCAGAAACAGCACGAGAGGTCATTTCTTCAACCTAATGTAACCAGTATTTCACATTTAAATACAGTTGTGATGTATTGGTTATCTATTGCTGGCTAACAAATCGCCCCAAAATTTAGCAGCTTAAAACAATGAACATTTATTATCTCACACTCTTTCTGAGGGTCAAGAACTCACAAGTGGTTTAGGGAGGTGTTTCTGGCTCAGGATCTCCTAAGTTGCACTCATGTCAAGGCTTACCTGTAGCTGAAGGGCTCACTTCCAAGTTCACTCACCAGATTGTTAGCCAGCCTCAGTTTCTTACCACAAAAGTCTCACCAAAGACTGCCTGAGTGACCTCATGACATGGCAGTTGGTTTCCCACAAAGCATTCAGAGACAGAGAGACAGAGAAAGAAAAGAGCAAGCTAATGAGGGAGTGCCCAAGATAGAAGCTATAGTCATTTATAATCTAGTCTTGGAAGTAACATACCACCATTTCTTTCTTATTCTGTTGGTCGTACAGACCAAACCCTGTATATCACGGGAGAGGAAATACAAGGATGTGAATACCAGGAGGCCGGGATCACTGGGGACCATTTTGGAAGCTGGCTACTACATGTAGGATAGAAGAAGAGAAATAACTCTTTAATATTAGAGATAAGATACATAAAAATGGATTTGCAAGGGTTGTCTTTAAGTGAAGTTTGACCCCAATCCATCTGGGATGGTTTTGTTATCAAAGAGAGAGCCAAATGGTAACTTCCAATCATTTCAAACTTTTAAAATACCGTAACACTGCAAATCTCTGTATAAAAGCAGAGTTCCCATCAAGCACTCAAACCAGGGGAGTACTGAGTTTATCTACATTCAGAGCTGAAAAGAAAAGCAATAGCAATTGTTGCTAAATTCTGTTTCATTCTCACAGTTCCCAAATGGGGTCATGTGTGCTTCTGCCAAAGCTCGATTCCTAGTTTCTAGTCCCATTTCTGGGGGACTTCAATCTGATTTTGCACAAAATGCTATAGTTTGGCTTTTTTTGTTGATTTGTAACCTTACCCATCCCAACCAAAGAATCATGGTAGAAGACAAAGAAACTACAGCACATGGTGTTTGTCTTCAACAAACTTAAAATCGTTATAACTGACAGTCCCTGGCTATCCCTGGACCTATCAAATTAAAAATGATGCTTCAGTCTCTTTCTCCGTATTCATTGCTAAATCAATACTTACGTGTTGATTTCTAGCACTAGAAGTTTTGAAAAATATTTTAGGGTTTCCTACCATACTTTCAGAATGCAAATTATTATTGTAAATAACTCAACTCAATAATTTAATACGTGGGTAAACAATTGAAATAATAGATAAAGTCACAGTCCACCAGAGACTGTGTTGTTGATTCTTTCAACTGTGTTGTTGATTAGATTATAATAAGGCATGTGATCTATTGGCAAGTAGATATCTTCTCATCAAAAATAGACTAATACACTCAAAAGTAGCTCGAAAATCAGTAAACTGCAAACTAAAGAAGGATTATTTAGGTATAGTAGAAGGGAAAGGGAAAGATGAGTGACATCTTTTTACTTTCATAATAGCTATCATGAAAGAAATAGGCTTTATAATAACTTTGTTCTTTGGTGAAAGAGAGATACAATCGTTTTTATGATCAGTTGAATAATAAATTAACTCTCCTTAGTGGGAAGACTTTGATGCATGTGACCATTCATTCTGAGCCTAATAGTCACTATTAATCATTATCTCCTCCCAACCCAATAGTACTCTCAATATTCTGCAGTTCTGAGGTACAGATTCTTTTTTGAGTCCTCTCTTGATGTTATCAGAACATGTAGAATTATATTGTTGTCAGATATTTTCTTCTTGTCAAGATAATTCATTGGTATCTCTTCAAAGAGATTTTTTTTCGTACCACTCTAAAGAATAAATCACCTATACTACCTCACCCCCGAAGTAAAAATAAAATATTTGTTTTTCTTTAACAGAGAGTTGAATAGTTTAGGATAAAGAGATTCTCTCCTGTGGTTCATTCTCTATGAGTTATTATGTTTATACAGCCAAATTATGTGGGTTTTCTTTTTAGGTTCACTTTCGCAGACACTTTTTCCCAGGGAAAATATGTTGTTGATCATAGCAGTAGGTCTAATTCCTTTCTCATATGTTTATTTTTGAAGAACTCCCACAGACTGGCTTGGCCTTAACCATAGATATAAGTTTATTCTGTATGATTTGTGTATGTGTGTGAAGTAGGGGGCAACGGGGTAGTATAGAAAATAAATCTTGTTTTATACAAACATGTAACAGAACCCTCAAATACTCACCAAAGAATAAATGATTGATATTATATTCTTTCCTAAGAGCACATTTTGATATGCCAGGAATAGACATACCACAAGAACACCAAGCACCTAAAAGGGGGTGAAGAGAGGTCAGGCAGAATATACCTACACCCAAGATCAGTCATCTATCCTTCTATCCAAGTTCTGCCTAAGGGCAGGCCTCCCCCAATGACTTCCATAGGAATTAAAATGAATGTATGCATATGTTTAAAAAGAAACTAATTTCACAATTACTCTCATATTTCAGGGAATTGTCCCTGATACCTAGACAAGACTTGAAGATGAATTGCCTATAAGTAACATAAAGGATTGTTATCACTTTATAGGGACAAGATGAGAGACAGATAAATAAGAAATGAGAAGTAATCTAAAATGGATGTAAAGGTTAACAACAGAAGAGCATTCTCCAGTTATACATATTAAAGAGAAGAGAGGAAAATCTCACAAACACTCCCAAACAGGGAAGGAAAGGTGATTACAATTAACAATATAAAGATAATTGCTTTTCTTTTCTTTTTTGTTTATAATAGCTTCTGGGTGGTGGATGTTTTGTAAAATAACTTAGTTAAGTACAACAGTTGCTCTTGATTTGAAGTAGAGTAGAAAGTCAAACTCATGGGGTCAAAGATGGAAATGACTGATATACAGAGGGTGCCAAAACAAATGTGTACACATTTTAAGAAAGGAAAAAAACTATTAAAACCATAATACTCGATATATACCAATAACAAAAGATGAATACAAGTCATGTTTGACTTATGCAATTACAAGAGGTGCTCAAAATGGCTACCATTAGCGTCCAGACACTTCTATTATGGTAAACTACTGCTTGAGCAACGTTGACCAAAGTGTCCACTTGTATACATTTTTTTTGGCATCCCCGGTATATATTTAATTGCTGAATACATTTAGCATGAGGGCCTGATGGTATACGCCTCACAGTACTGGAG